TTATAATAAATTTAATTATTCATTATATAGTAATAAATCTAATTAATCATTAAGTTTATGTTTAATTTGTCATTAAGGGTAGTATAAATAATTAAAATAATATTAATTTATTACTAAATATTTTAAATTTATGAGTATTTTCACATTTAATTTGTGTAATGACAATTATTTATATGATGATGAAAAATTTTATATATATAAAGAATTTGTTTAGATTATTATTAAATATTTTAAGTGTATGAACAATTATTTATTATAATTTATTTAAATTAATTATATTTGTTTATAGATATTAGAAAAATATTAAAACCGCGAGTGTAGGCAAAACACCTAGTTAAATTAAATTACGGAATTGGGACTCATTTCACTCACAAGAACATTTGACTAGAATTATAAGATAAATCGGTCCAAACCGGAGATTTTAATTAATGAGAAGAACATTATAAGAAAATAATCATAACACGGTCTCTGATACAAGAACAAAAAACAAATTAAGATCCAAAAATCTATGAAATGGGGAAAGATAAAAGAAAGAAGCTGCTCTCATCAGTTCATTCTCCTAACAAGCTCGTTGATGAAGTTCTCTCTGTTTCCCGCATCACCACCTTCAACGTAATGGTTCCTCTTCTTCTCAAGTCCACCGAGTGGTGCCTTCAGCTGAAACGGCCAAAGGAAGTTGTTGGCTTCTTTGAAGTGAGGTCCAACGGTCATGATCTCATGGATCAGATCCTCTACACAGATGATGTTGTGCTTTCCTAGACCTTCAGTCACTATTGAGTTGTCTGTGAGTGCTATCCTCTGGTGGTTCAGCTTTCCAAAACCTCTCTTGTAGATCAGTTCCTTAACACTCTTCAAGTTTGGGTACCCGTAAGTAACGTACGGTTCAACACGACGCAACATGTTGATTGTTGCCTTGTTCACCTTAAGGAACACACCATTGAAGATCTGCACATATGTGTATATACACACAAGTTAACAGACATATCTAAGTGATAATCATATGATATCTGAGACTATATGAACTTAAGAGACTTACTTGTCTTAAACGCAGGAGCTGCAGAATCTTCTTGGTTTTTGGGTCAATAGCGTTGATTCTGTAAAAGACAAACATCATGTAAAGACACACAGACACTGTCTGAAACCTACTTCTATAATACACAAACATACCCACGGATACGAATGATGAAGAGCAATTTAGCTTCTGGATCAACATAGAACCCTCCTTTCAACTTAGCCTCACGCTTCAACCGAATCAACTCATTATCCTAAACAATCAAATACATCATTAAAACAAGAAAACATATTTTACATAGTGAAAGCAGACAACACAAGTGTGTTTATTTAAATAAACCTTCTCAGCGTATTCTTTGGCATATTGTTCAGCTCTCTTGAAGATAAGCTTGCGAGTTTCAACACTCTTCTTCTTAGCAGCTAAAGCTTCTTGCTTCTTCGCCAATGCCCATTCCTCTTCCCTCTTGATCTTTTTCAAGACAGATTCTGGAACCACCATCTTAGACTCTGCCATTTCTCCTACACAACATTACACAGACAAAAAAAAACTAAGTTTAGTAACCAAAATCAATAAACTAAAAGAGAAGATTAGCATCTGGGTCAGTCCACATAGAGCAATTCAATAAGCATAAACATCTACGTAATGTAATGAAACCAAACAGCATGACACAAACTAGGGTTGCTTTACGTAAAATTGATTAGCTATACTACACATTGATTCCATAACTAGGTTTAGATTTCATCCACTAATCTAATATTTACAAGGGAAGCTTATCGATCTCAAATGTATACAAACCTAGGAAAGGAAGCTAACACTTGACACAACGAAACACTTATGTTTCGAGACGAAAGTATTACGAGGAAGATCCAAGAAGCTTACGTTGAGAGGAAGGTATTGTCTGAGAGCGAGTGAGCGCGGCGCAGAGTGGAAGGAAAAAGAAATGGGTTTAGGGTTTTAATTCATAACCTTGTTTTAATGGGCCAATGAGGCCTATTTATCTTATTTTGGGCCTAGTAGATTGGGCTACGAGCATTATCACTAGTGTATTTAGATTGCGCAGCTATGAAATGAAAAACAGTAGTTTGAATAAAAAATGAAAACAGTAGTAAACAATAAATAAATAAATAAATGAAACTGTATTTAATGAAAGTGGACGTAGTCAGTGTTATCACCGAACTTCTCGGGATGTCTGTTACTATAAAGCAATTATCACAAGAAACCTGTAACAAACTTCACTCTGTAACCGGAGAAGATGAAGGTGATAGATAAGATCAAGTCATGGACCGACCAAGGCAAAACAACCTTCTCCTTCGAGTTCTTCCCACCGAGAACAGAGGATGGAGTCGACAACCTCTTCGAACGTATGGATCGTCTCGTCGCATACGGTCCAGCCTTCTGCGACATCACGTGGGGAGCTGGTGGTACCACGGCAGATCTCACGCTCGACATTGTCTCGAGGATGCAGAACGTTGTCTGCGTCGAGAGTATGATGCATCTCACGTGCACTAACATGCCTGTGGATAAGATAGATCATGCGCTTGAGACGATAAGATCTAATGGGATTCAGAACGTTCTTGCGCTTAGAGGTGATCCTCCTCATGGTGAGAATAAGTTTGTTCAGGTTGAAGGAGGGTTTGGTTGTGCTTTGGATCTTGTGAATCATATTAGGGGCAAGTATGGTGATTACTTTGGTGTTGCCGTTGCTGGTTATCCAGGTATATACTCTCACTAACATGGCAGGATCTGAGATTTAAGGGAATATAAATGTTTTTATGCTAATCTTAATAAATAAAAATTTCGATAAATTTAGAGCTATACAACTTTCTGTAAAATATGAGGATCAAGACAGAATGTTTCATCCGGTTATGTCTAGAACATGTGTCTCTTGTAGGTGTAATGCTGATCTCTTTTTGATATACAGAGGCTCATCCTGATGTCATTGGTGAAAATGGCCTTGCGTCCAAGGAAGCTTATCAGAGTGATCTTGAGTACCTTAAGAAAAAGGTCTTGTTCTTTTTTTCATCATTTGTTTTGTGAAGGTTTTTGATATTTGTATTCTCTATTTAAATTTGGATTTGGACTGTTTTCTTGGAACAGGTTGATGCTGGAGCTGATCTGATTGTTACCCAGCTTTTCTTTGACACTGATATACTCCTCAAATTTGTGAATGATTGTCGGCAAATTGGGATAAAGTGTCCCATTGTTCCTGGAATAATGCCCATTAATAACTACAAAGGGTTCTTGCGTATGATTGGTTTTTGCAAGACCAAGGTATGTTTTCATCTCTTAATGTTACCTCAAAGTCATATAAATGACTTAACCTTGAAGCTGATGATATTAATGTAGATACCAGCTGAGGTCATGGCTGCCTTGGAGCCTATCCAGGATAATGAAGAAGCTGTGAAAGCCTATGGTATTCACCTTGGTACAGAGATGTGTAAAAAGATTTTGGCTCATGGGATCAAGTCTCTTCATCTCTACACATTGAACATGGAGAAATCAGCTCTTGCAATTTTGATGGTTAGTCCTCATTGTACTACCGAAATTTACATTAAAAGTATCCTAACCATCACGCTGATGTTGCAGAATCTTGGTATGATTGAAGAGTCCAAAATCTCTCGCTCTTTACCATGGAGACGTCCTGCTAACGTTTTCCGTATTAAAGAAGATGTGCGTCCCATTTTCTGGTAGCCACACTTAGTCTCTCATGTTCTGATTGTGCCTAGCTAGTAGCCACAGACCTTAATCCACATAGAATCTTTTATTCTTTATCTTTTGTTAGGGCCAACCGTCCAAAGAGTTACATTTCTAGAACAAAGGCCTGGGAAGACTTCCCACAAGGTCGGTGGGGTGATTCACGCAGTGCCTCATATGGTGCACTCACTGATCATCAGGTACCACTAGATTGGTCTTATTGATTTCTATATGTAACGCGTTCTTGTGAGATTCTCTGCTGAACTAAAATGCTGGTTCTTGTTGTCAGTTCTCACGTCCACGAGCACGTGACAAGAAGCTTCAACAAGAATGGGTTGTCCCATTGAAAAGCGTTGAAGATATTCATGAGGTAATAATCTTGACTTGCACTCCAAGAAACGCAGAGACTTGCAATAATCTTGCGAAACACGTTACAGAAATTCAAGGAGCTATGTCTTGGAAACTTAAAAAGCAGTCCATGGTCGGAACTGGACGGTCTCCATCCAGAGACAAAGATCATAAACGAGCAGCTGGGGAAAATCAACTCCAAGGGCTTCTTGACCATTAATAGCCAACCATCAGTCAATGCAGAGAGATCTGATTCTTCAACTGTTGGTAAGTTTCTTCTCATAACTAGATATATTGACTCTAGCCTTATCAAATGCTTTTTGAATATGATTTGCAGGATGGGGTGGTCCTGGTGGATATGTATACCAAAAGGCTTATCTAGAGTTCTTCTGCTCAAAGGACAAGTTAGATGAAGTTGTTGAGATATGCAAAGCTTTGCCATCTATAACTTACATAGCCATGAACATAGGAGAAAACTGGGTGTCAAACACTTCACAATCTGACGTGAATGCTGTTACTTGGGGTGTTTTTCCTGCTAAGGAGATTATTCAACCAACCATTGTTGATCCAGCTAGCTTCAAAGTCTGGAAAGATGAAGCGTTTGAGACTTGGTCAAGAAACTGGGCTAACTTGTACCCTGAAGCTGACCCTTCAAGAAACTTGCTAGAGGAGGTGAAGAACAGCTACTATTTGGTAAGTTTGGTAGAGAATGACTACATCAATGGTAACATATTCAAAGTCTTTGCTGATCTTTGAACCAATTAACAATGCTAGCAGTTTCTTACTACTTTCAAGTTTTGCTTTGTAAGTTCTCTACAATATTTGGTTTCTCTGTCTTGTTATCATTATCATATTGATTTTTCCAATAAAGTTATTTAAAAAAAAGAAAAGCATCAGTTTCATTAACCTTAAAGATCCAAAAACTACAACAAATCTTTTGGCTCCACTAAGTTCTAACTTATAATCAAACACCACATCATGTAGAGGCATGTAAGACTTCAAGAACAATCTCTTTGGGTTTAATGATTCTGAAAGTGCACAAATCTCCAACAGCTAAACCGTAGCCCTTTGCTAAATATCTCCATCCGCTGGAAAACAAATTTGATCCATTACTGGGAACATAGACAACATCCCATGGCTTCCCCTTGGGATCATGTATGACAAACTTAGTCCTCCCCTTTGGCATCTGCTCCTTTGCAAAGTTTGCCGGTATTGTCTGATCAAATGCAATGAAAACAACCATTCCAAGTCACATAACATCATTCATCCAAAACCATTGATGGATATTTGTGTATTAGTTATACATCTTACCAACAATGTGAGATGTGACTTCTTGATGGTGAGACTAAATGCTGCAGCTGAGGAAGAAGATGAAGCTTCATTACTATCCACTTTCTTCTTCTTCATCTTAGATTCAGCTATTACAGAATCAACACAGCTCATCTCTTCATTCTTGTTATCTTCATAGCCATCAAAAGATTAAAAATACAACAATTCACAAATTTTGCTTAAACTACTCAAGAACTTACTGGAGGAAGAAGCTTTTAGTGGCTTGAGAATCTCTATACAATTCTTCTGGAAGATGTCAACGGTTATGCAATTGTTTCCTTCGTTTGTGAAGGTCAGAAACTCATTGTCTCCTAGATGATTGTCGCTTAGAAACTTCTCCCATCCATTTCTCTCCATAAGGCAAAATCCCATGAATCTTGAGAGATTCACTGTCCAAGAACTTCCCCAAGCCACCTTCAAGGTCACCTTAGGTGGGAGATTCTTGCATTCACTTCTTGTCCAGAACTCGTGTGGAATCAATCTCTTTGAAGATATATACATAATGAAGATATCAAAAAGAGAAACTAGTGCTCAGAACCAGGAGCTCAAAACAAAAAGACACAATGTTCATTTTACATGCAAAATACAGTAAAAAAATTAATATTCATCAAGCATTTAGGGCAAAGAGAAACTGGTAAAGAACAGAGCAAAATGTAACAAAATCTATGTTCTAATTAGACACATCAACCATGGAAGATCAAAGATCTCATCTTTCAACATTTCAGACCAGGAAAAAGAAAGTATGAGGAGGAGATGATTAGGTTAAGAAGATGAGTACCATGGATTCAGAGGACAGATCTTCATCTGCAAGAATCTTGAAGAATCTTGTCTTCTTCCGGTCCTCTTGAAGCCTACCAAATGCTCTGTTTCTAGCCATCTCATGAAGAAAACTCTTTCTCCTCCTTCTCCTTGACTGTTTCACTCTCACAACCTCTCTCTGGTGCTCTCTTTCTATGGGGTAAAAGACCTTCAAGAGAGCCCTAAATGACTTTTCTTTTTCTGTAGTAAAGAGGAAAACCATTATTAAGACTCTGGAGACACGCAAAAGGATAAAAGTCTTTTCCTTATTTTAGTAACTGAGTCTCACTCTGTTACAAAAGATGAAAGTTTCTTCCTTTGGTTTCACAATTTAATGTCATATGCAATTCTTTATGCATAGTAATTATAAGCAAACGACCACATTGCAATTACTATTTTTTTTTTCAAACAACATCCTCGTTGTTTTGGATCATGTTCAAAGAAAATACAGAGTATTTGAGAACAAGAAAGCCTACAAAAAGTTTTCAACAGTGCTAAACATAACGGAAGAAAGCAATACCAAGTAGAACAATAAGATCATCAATTTAGTTACAAAATAAACAATAACTAGATTTGGACCCGCGCAACCGCGCGGGTTTTGTTTTCATATATATATATATATATATATATATATATATATTTTTTTTTTTTTTTGTATGTCATTAATAACGTTAGTCATATGTTTAAATGTTTATATAACTATTACAAACACAATAGTTTTATAGCTTGTACGTTAATATCAATTGTTTCTTATTATATATTTATCTAATTGGCTTTATATTTAATTATTAATATTAATATATGCATGAAAAATCATATTATTTTATATATAATTTATACTAAATTATTATTTGAGTTTCAAAGTTAGATTACCGTTTATTAAACTTTTTATGTTTATAAAGATAATAGGATATTATAAAAGTTTAAGATATGTTAATTTTATACATGTATTTATAGTTACTAATCTTAATCCGTTCTGCCAATATATTATATATTTTTAAAATTAATATTTTCTATTTATGAAAATAAAATTGACATTAATTTATCAATTTAATATAATTTTATAACATTCACTTTATTATAATAATTTCATTTAATTTGATAGTTTATGATTATTAAATAGATAAAAAGAATAAAATCTGTTTTAATATATATATATATATTAATGTATAATTATTTTCATTACTAATTCGAAATTTTATTCAAGTTATTAATTAGTGAAATATTTATATAATGTTTTTAAAGTTAAGATCTTGCTAAAATCTTTTCAACAGATTTTTTAAAAAGAAATTAATACATATCTATTAAAATAAAAAGATATCAAAGATATTATGATTGAAGTGATTACAAAGAAATGAAATATATTTAATAAATCTTCTTTTGCTAATGGTTCATATAAAAAAAATCACACATGAAATGAGTCATGATTTCTCTTTTAATATATAAGATATCATCAAAGCAGACACAGAAGGATAGTAGAGAAACAAAAACATAACCTCTCACGTTAACTCGACGCTCCATATTGGGCCCATTAATCAAAGGCCCATCAACGTTAATCAGGCATCTAAACTATTAAAGGGGAAGTACAAATAGTATATACCCCTTAATTTTCCACAAAAATTACAACTTTATGCCACTGAAGTTAAAACACAGTAATTTGATTAATGTCTAATTATTATTTTGTTGGGCTGCTGTAAGTTTGTTTTTGTCAGCCCATAAAGAAGAATTTCGAAGGCATGTTAAATAATATAATTATAGAAAAATGCATAGTTTACATACGTATTACATGTATACTTATAGATATTAATATTCAAATAAAATAAAAATCAAGTTTAAAAACATGATAAAGTTTTAAAATCCATTTTCTTTATTTTAGATTTCATATAAAAATATATAATAGATGATTTAAATCATTTTTGTAATAATTTGGAGTTTCAGCATACGATTCAATATACAATAACATTAAAATTAATAATTGTTTAAATATAATGTAAATTTCAAATTTAAAAAAAAAAAGTCAGATTGACTTACATATTGGTTACATATCTGTTCAAACAGTAGCTTCAACTTTTAACACTCATACAATAAAAGAAATATATAACAGTTCACATATATATATATATATATATATATATATATCTCTATAATATTATTTGAGAAGTCAGTTTCCTACGTGCCGCGCTCACGTTAACTCTCGCGATGGTTGATTACATAGATACCCTTAATGAATTGTTAGATTTTAAGTTTATTATTAACTTTTTTTTATTTAGTTTCTTTTTTACTTTTTCCAAATAACATATATAATAAAAAGGAAATATTTCTAAAATTTTAAAACAGGTTTAAAAACGAAAATATATGTATATAATATGACTTTATTAAAAATGAAAGTTCACAAAATAGTAATATACCCCATTATTATATATTTTTAAAAAAACAATGAATATATATTCAAAATAATAAAATATATATGTTCATGAACATCCAAAATTTATCAATTACACTTTATTTTCTAATATTTTTAGAAATCAAAATATAATTTGATAAATAGTATGAAAATACTTGTATATTTAAACGATAAATAAAACTTATTCGATTTGACTTACCTAAAATAAGGAATAAATAAATATTATGACAATACATGTATATTTAAGCGATAATTATAACTAATTTTATTGGACTTAAATAAAATCAAAAGTAATTATACTTCAATTTTAACTCAATATACTCACAACATGAATGACTTGACTAATCTAATTTATATCCAAAATTAAACATCTAACTATAATAAGAACATATAATTTTATAGTAATAATAATCTATTTAATTTTATACATATAAATTAGAGGTTGACTCAAAGCATACTAAAAATAAAAAGGAAATATTAACCAATTACAATTTATTCTTTTGTACAATTTATATATATGCATGAGACTTCAAAATATTATCATTATATTCATTTATGTAATTTTGAATCAAACACTTCAGCTTATTATTTATTTTAGTTTAAGCACAATATATATATATATATATATATATATATTAAGTTATATATAATTTAACTATAATATATTTACATATCTAAGAATATATTTACATATCTAAGACAATAACCAACCGAAATGAAAATAAGAAAATTAATCATAGTTTATTATATTTACAATAAAAAATATTATAGCTGAATTCGAAAAATAAATATTATCCGATATACCAAATTGATAACCAAACCAACTATTGATCCAAAAAATAACTAAACCGACAATAATATATCCAAAGCCATATGTATAATTAGAATAATATAATATTTATTAATATAAATTATACATATAAATTGATACAAACTAAAACTAAATATCAATCAATTATTATAAAATTTTATTTTTATGAATATTTATACCCGTGCATGAGCACGGGAAAATCACCTAGTATATATATATATATATATATATATATATATATAACACAATAAAAAACATGAAAGTAATTTATACTATGAATTATAAACTAAAATCTAACAAATGAACCCATTATATGAAATTGTTATATAAAATCATTAAGTTTTTGTGTTTTAAATGTTTATATAATTATAAAATAAAATAAAAATTCAAAATACAATAACATTAAAATTAATAAGTGTTTAGATATAATATAAAACTGAATTTAAATTTTCAATTAAAAAATCAGATTGACTTACATATTGGATACCCTTCTGTTCAAACGGTAGGTTCGACTTTAAAACTCATACAATAAGAAATATATAACAACTCACAAATATATATATATATATATATATATATATATATATATATATATATATATATATATATATATATATATATATATATATATATATATATATAACAGAATACAGAAACATGAAAGTAATTTCTGCTATGAATTATAAACTAAAATCTAACAAATGAACCCATTATATGAAACTATTATATAAAATCATTAAGTTTTTGTGTCTTTTAAATGTTTATGTAGTTATAAAAAAAAGGTAAAGATCTAGTTATCTGATTAATTAATTTGACAAAACCTATCGTTCGGACAAAGAAGAGAACCGTTGTACTTTGCGAGCATTACTCAACGTCTACTTTTCTCTATTTGCTTCTTCTCCCACTTTCTTCTTCCTCTGAGTCAAATCCCTTTGATCCAATTTCTCATTGATCTGATTGTAATGGAGGCTAGAATCGGTCGATCTATTCAAAACCTCTCATCAACACCAGCAGTAACTGCGCCGGTTCAAATTCGTCCGCCTTCTACACGGCGTCCTAGGATGAGAGAAGTCAGCTCCAGATTCATGTCTCCGGTTCCTTCATCTTCCGAGACTTCAAATTCTCCCAGGCATCATCACCAGAATCAACTGTCGGTCTCATCTCAGAAGTCGAGAAGACAATTAAAATTAGCGGAAGGCGCCGACGAGAACTGCCCTCCCGAGACGGCGCGTAACCTTAATTGACTGGCTTGTCATTATCTCCTGTGGCACCTACCTCGAAGACTCAAGGAGATACTAAGAGACAGAAGAAAATCTTAGGACAACAAGCGGATGCACATTCTTTGAAACTCCTACATAACGTCTACTTGCAATGGAGATTCGCACATGCAAATACTGACTGTCAAAACAAAAGCTCAGAAAGCAGAAGCTGAGGTATGTTTTATTACTCTTGAAACAGTAATCTCTTTGGCTGATAGATCAATATGACTCTTACATTAACATCAGTGATGAGCTAGTTCAGATTATTCACTGTTTAATTTGACATTAACACCAGTGTCAGCAAGTTAATGTGGTTTATGTTATAGTATTCTTTGAGATGGTGGATGAACTAGCAATACTCTCTAACTTCAACAGTGAATAAACTTTCTCTGTAGAGAATGTTTTGTTCCCTTGGCTGGAAAATGTCAGAGCTCTCCGACTCTGTACATAAGAAACGCATAGAACTCCAAGGGTTAATGAGAGTAAAAGCTCTTAAGGAGATTCTGGAGCCTCAAGTAAGTCAGATTTGATATCTCATTACACAGTAACAGTTATTGAGAAAACATGTAATTAGTAGTAGTAGTAGTTGGTGACTAACCTCTTTATAACTCTATGCAGATGCCTTTATTGGAACAATGGACAACTCTTGAAGAAGAATACTCAACCTCACTATCAATCTGAAGCTCTATTAAATGCGTCTTTGCGGCTCCCTCTAGATGTCGATATCAAGGTTTATATTTGTTTGGATTATCTTAGATTAACATTTTTCCCTTTGTAGATCTTTTGCATTAATCACTTCTGATTCTCAATACAAGGTTGAGACGAAAGAATTAGGACAAGTACTTGCTCTCGCTTCAAACTCCATGGAAGGCATTGTGCAAAACATTGGACAGTTTTTGCCTAAGGTATGCTATAAATGTTTGCTTCACAAAAAAAATACACTTGTTGAAACTTCAAACTGAAACAACTTCTTTGTTGCACTTTTCAGACACAAGAGATTTGAGAGTTTGTTGTCGGAACTAGCAAGAGTAAGCAGCAGAGTAAAAGTAGCAGCAGAAGACTGTGGAGTTGCACTGCTTAAGACACATTCATCACATGTATGAACCTCTTAACATAGAATTTGATATATAAACATTTGTTTCGTTTCAGTTGCTGAAATCTGAAATGTCATGTTTGTTCTGCAGGCTGAATATTGCTATCTTAGAAGTCAGCTTATACCGCACCACAAGCCGTGTGTATAATAAATGAATGTGAAGCTCCCTTGTATACATGAATCACACAGAAAAGTGGATAATGAAATGTTTTTTTTTGTTCAACATGAAAGGTTTTTCATACGATGCATATGTTGTTTTAAATGTTTTGTTTTCTTTTTTTTTCTCAAAAAATAAATTATAACAAGCACTAGGAGAGACCAAGGTCAGATTTAGACGATGAGTCAAAAAGAAGGGAAAGTCCTGATAAGCACTATGAGAGACAAAGGTGTGACTTAATTAGAGGATGATTCAAAAAGAAGAGAAAGTGAAGATAAGCACTATGAGGAGAGGGTCAAGATAAGCACTATAAGAGACAATGGTCAGATATGGATGATATTGATTCAATGAGAAGAGAATGAGAAACAACACGCCTCGAGGTAGAATGGATTCCAGAATAGAAGGGAGAGCTGCTAGATTTAAAGATTCAAGCAAATGCAAATGGATGCAGAGGTGCATGAGGAGCAGAGATGGGGAGAAGGATGAAGAAAGCTGATGAAACTGATGTGGTGGAAGGCTACTAACAACAAAGACACTGTTGGCCAAAAGCTTTTTGGACGAAGCTTATAAAAGTGTGTATGGAGTTGAGAAAGGTGGAAGTTCGACTATTGAAGAAAGCGTGTGTTGTGAGGTCTGAGGGCACCTGCAACTGTGACCCTTAACACATCCTTAGCGTGTTTTCTTAGGTTAATGTTAATATAATAATACTAATTAGATCACATAATCGAAGGATTGCCCCTTCGTTAAGGATTTATTTGGGGTGATCCTTGTGTACGTGTCACGAGATGAGTGGAGAGGTGTTTGCCTTGGGAAAAAAAGAATCTCATTTTGAGCAAATCAGAAAAAAATTGAGTCGAGAGAGAAAGGACGATTGGGAAGGCGATTTCTCACCGAAAACTTTAATCAAGGTAAATCGAAGCTTAAAGTTGAATATTTGTCGATTTAGATCAGTTATCAACTTGTTTCCTCTCTTGTTTCCTCTCGGTTTATTGTGTTTCGATCGATTTTGTTATGGTCGAATTTTTAGGGTTTCAAAAAATTTGGGGTTAAATCGATTTGGGGATAAAGTGCGTCTGTAGATAGGTTTTGGGAAGGATTTTCGATCTAACTGGTTTCAATCAACGCTTATTGGCTTGTGATTTGAACATACTTTGTTTTTGAAAACTATGTTTCTGTTTACAAATTGATTCTTTTTCTAAATTGGTTGTGTATCTTTTGTTCTTATTGATCGGTGTGGATTATGTGTATAACTATTAGTGCTTTCGTTGGTTTGATGATGATTATTATTAGTATAACTTTGTTCTTCACGTCATTTATTTCAGGTTTACGATAATGGGTCAAGACTACAGCTATAGTCAGCCTTCATCATCATCAGAATCACTAGACATAACCTCCCTTCTTGAAGCCGAAGCTCAGATTTACGCGGATGAAGCCACAAGTAGCTACAATGCACAACCGGTTGAGTACACACTTGTAGCAAAGGCTGATGAAGGAATACCTAGGACATGTTACTGTGGTGGTGATCTTATTCTCCGATGCTCCTACACTGCCAAAGATCCATACCGTAGGTATTTTACATGCCACAATGTTGATGATGGCGACTGCCACGTATGGAAATGGTTTGACGTGGCAGTCATTGAGGAGATGAAGGACTTTCAGAGACAGCTAATGAAGCTTAAAGATCAAGGTAAAGACAATGAGCAGAAGCTCCTTAATCTTGAGAAGACGGTATATGAGTTATCAAAGAAGAAATCAAGTGCTAAGCAAATGGTCTGCCTATTAGTTGTAATTGGTTTGGTGTTGTTGCTTCTGCGTGGGTAGTTTCTGTCCTTTTCTCATTGTAGTTATGGATTTTTGTAAAAACATTTGCCTCATTGTTGTCATGTTTTTCAGGAATAGTTGCAAAAGCTTCAAAGGAGAGTGTACCTTCGGAGTTTCTGCTATGTACGAAATTTTAAGCTATTCTTACTTTCTTTTTTCGAATTTTAAGTAATTCTTACTCTTTCTTTTTTGAATTTTAAAACCACTTTAGTACTTCCTATCTGCTCTGATTTGATGTGAGTGTTGTTTGGTTTAGCTTTAAGACCGTTCTCGTTTAAAATACAAAAGTTTTTACGAAAACATTTCGTGTACAAAAATTCTCATTTAATGATAGCTAGCTTCAAAAAGTTTTTTGGTTTCTATCTTCCTATCTGCCCTGACTTGATTGACTTTAATTAGTTTAGTACTTAGTGATAAATGATAGTTGTTTGCTTTCTACCCTCCCAACTCCTCCGATTTGATTTGCTTTTAATGCTTAAAACTTTCTCTACTTAAGGCTTTGTGTCACTAGTCGGCACAGAACATCCTCTAACCATGGCTAACACGTCTGGCTATGTAAACCTATTAAATAGTCAAATTCCAATAGACCTTGATTCTGCCGAACATATTTGGTTTGATAGCCAAGTTCCTAATGAGTCCGGTGACAGGTTGAGGAGGAAATGGTCGCCCAAAGAGGATAAAATCCTTATTGGTGCTTGGCTAAACACCAGTAAGGATCCTGTCATCAGTAACGAGCAGAAAGCTGATGCTTTCTGGAACCGGATTCTTGACTATCACAATGCAAGTCCTCATCTCGTTGGCACCGAACCGAGGAATCTTCGTCCTTGCCAGCAGAGGTGGGCTAGGATAAATGAGCAAGTATCCAAGTTTTCTGGATGTTATGATGCGGCCCTGAGGGATCAGAAAAGTGGAACAAGTGATGATGATCTCATGCAAAATGCGTTAGATTTATTCTTCAAGAAAAACAAGTACAAGTTCTCCCTGGATCACTTCTGGAGAGAGTTGAGACACGACCAGAAATGGTGTGCCACCTATCAAGCTACAGACAGTGGAAAGGAGAAACGAAAGGAGGTTGATAGCGAAGAAGGGGAAATGAGAGAACCAGAGAGTCGACCTATCGGGGTTAAGGCCGCGAAGGGTCAAACTAAGAAGAAGAAGAGTGTTAGAGAGCAAGAGTTGACAAAGCTACAGACTGTTTTAGAAACTAAAGAAAAACTCTCAAGGCATAAAATCCTTGAGCGTTTACTCGCGAAAACAGAGCCACTTTGTGAGATGGAAAACAGTCTTAAGCTGAAACTGATGTATGAACTTTTGTGAGGTATTAATATAGTTTGTGGTGCTAGTCTTGTTTAGAGAACTTATTCTTGTTTTGTGGTTCTAGTCTTGTTTTGCGGTATAAATATAGTTTGTGATGCTAGTCTTGTTTAGGGATCTTAATCTTGTTTTGTGGTGGTATACTTGTTTTGTGATCTTGTGACTTTAAAAGTATACTAAACTGTTGTCATGTTTGATGTGTCAGGGTCCGCAAAAGGCATGTGAAGAAGGTCACAGGAGTGGCATTTGGACGTGTTAAAGTCTTTTGGTCATGTGAGCAAAGTCACAGGTGTTTCTGTTTCATTTCATGTATTATAAGTAGTTGGCATGGTTCTCTTTAGCTAGGCCTGGGCATTCGGGTAGTCGGGTCGGGTTCGGGTCGGGTCCTTTCGGGTCCGGGTCTTTCGGGTCTAGGAGTTTAGGACCCGATAGGGTAATTTCAAATTTTCGGTTCCGGTTCGGTTCGGGTCGTACCGGGTCCGGGTCGGGTCGGGTCTTAGATAGTTGGACCCATTCGAGTAATTAGAATTTATCGGTTCGGATTCGGTTCGGTTCCGGGTCGGGTTCGACCTAAAAAATACCTAAAAATATAAAAAAATATCTGAAAATATTTATATATCCGAAATTATTCAAAATTTTATTCAAAATTTGTGTTTTTATTATATTAAAATGTGTATATATATTAAACTATGCGAGATACAACAACAATTTGTTGTCTCCTAGTGGTTGACCTCCTTACTCTCTATAGAAACAACCCGTCTTCGACTCCCCCTCAATGCATTTTATTTAATTTACACTATTAATTCGGGTACCCATCGGCTTTCGGATTCGGTCCGGGTCGGGTCCAAGACCCGCGGGTCCTCTACAACAAGACCCGATAGGGTAATTTGATCGGGCCGGTTCCTACCCGGACCGGGTTTTTTCGGGTCGGTTTCGGGTCGGGTCTTCGGGTCCGGGTAAAATGCCCAGGCCTATCTTTAGCTATGTATCATTGCTGTTCTGTTTCATTTCATGTATCAAACTTCTCTCTTTTTGATTCCTTTAGCCTCATTGTTCTTCTGTTTCTCGGAGAGGCTGGAATCTTTAGCAATGTATCTGATGACATGATGTAATATTTTGGTACGAAAACAACAAGAACTTGCTTCTTTTCCTTATCCCTTTTTCTTTGTTTCACAAACTTGACCTTATAAAATTAAATTTTGGTACGAAAACAAGAAGAACTCCTTCTTTCTACTTTCATTCGTTGGTGTACACAAGCAGCTACAACCGTTGGGGCACAAGAACTTCTTTCTACTTTCATTCCGTGGTTTACACAAGCAGCTACAACCGTTGGGGAACAATAACTCTTTCTTTCTCTTGTAGGTAACACTGATGAATCTTCTCTAAATCAAATTAATCTCGTGGTATGTGGAATAGAACTTGATAAAGAATTTATTAAAGATTCTTGACAGTAGGAAGGATGTTATGTTGAATAGAAAATAGAACTTGATAAAGAATGAAACTTAAATTTTGAAAAGATAGTAAAACTAATACTCCCTCCGTTTCATTTTATTTGTCATTCTAGGTTTTTGCACACAGATTAAGGAAATATTTAATTTTACATATTTCCAAGATAAAAACACAATTACCTATACACCTAACCACTTTTCAACCAATAGAAAAATAGAATATTATATAAACTAATCAATTTTGCCTCAAAATTTTTAAACGACACTTAATTTGTGACAAAAAAATAAGCCTAGAATGACATATATTCTGAAACGGAGAGAGTAGAACTTAATATGATAGAACCATATTAAAAAATAAAGAAATGACAATTAGTATAAATGAAACTTAAAATAATAGAACCATATTAAAAATAAAGAAATGACAATTAGTATAAATGAAACTTAAAATAATAGAACCATATTAAAAAATAAAGAAATGACAATTAGTATAAATGAAACTTAAAATAATAAAACCATATTAAAACATAATGAAATGACAATTAGTATAAATGAAACTTAAAATAATTGGTATAAATAAACTTAAGATAATTGAAAAAATAGAATTTTTTAATAACTGATGATGAATCTTCAAAATATAATAAAAATTGGATTTGAACAGAAACAATTAATTCCTTTTACAATCTTGAAAAGAAAAAAAATATTAATTTTTTACTAAAACTTGGAACTATTTTAATTGGTTTCAAGAAGGGATACCTAAAGATGTCATCATCCTCATCCGATGGCGTCGATGAAAGACTGGATGAAATTTTCGACGAAATTGTCAAAGATACGTACAATGACATAGTGGAGTATCAAACAAATAAGCAAAGGATACGTGCTTATATAGAACGACACCGTGAAGCAGGACACGGCCGTTTATGGAATGACTACTTCAGCGAACATTCAACATTCTCCCCACATTTATTCAGACGCCGTTTCCGCATGAATAAAGAATTATTCTTGCGTATTGTCTATGGCCTCTCGGAGAACGTTCGATTCTTTCGACAAAGAAGAGATGCAACCGGGAGATTTGGTCTTTCTCCACTACAGAAATGTACAGCAGCAATTCGTCTGCTTGCTTATGGTTATGCGGCTGACACGGTAGACGAATATCTCCGACTTGGTGAAAGCACGGCACTTTCGTGTTTACACCATTTCACTGACGGAAGAATACACTTATTCGGAGATGAGTATCTACCGACACCAGAGGATCTTTAGCGACTGCTCGATATTGGAGAGAAACGCGGGTTTCCTGGGATGATCAGAAGCATCGACTGTATGCATTGGGAGTGGAAGAATTGCCCAACCGCATGGAAAGGACAATACGCACGTGGATCGGGAAAACCGACAATTGTCTTGGAGGCTGTGGCTTCACAAGATCTTTGGATATGGCACACCTTTTTTGGTCCTCCGGGTACCTTAAACGATATTAATGTCCTCGATCGGTCTCCTGTTTTTGATGACATTTTCCTTGGCCGAGCTCCCAGGATAGAGTATGTGGTCAACTGACACATGTATAAGTTGGCGTACTATCTCACAGACGGTATTTATCCCAAATGGTCAACCTTTATCCAATCTATCTCGCATCCTCAAGGTTCTAAAGCAGAGTTATTTGCTAAAGTTCAGGAATCAACCCGAAAAGATGTCGAGCGGGCTTTTGGAGTATTGCAAGCTCGCTTTGCGGTTGTGAAAAATCCGGCTCTCTCATTAGACAAGGAAAAGATAGGGAAGATTATGAGAGCATGTATCATACTGCACAATATGATCGTCGAAAATGAACGAGATGGGTACACTCAGTACGATATATCTGAATTTGAAGAAGAAGACACAACGAGAAGTTCACGAGTTGATACTGACATGCCTACAAATATCCATAATATGCTCGGCACTCGGAATGATGTTCATTATAAGCGTTTACATCAACGACTGAAAAATGATTTGATTGAAATTATTTGGAACAAATTTGGTGATTGCTAATCATATTGTATCTTTATATTTTTATCATGTAATATTTTATCATGTAATATTTTGTCATGTAATATTAATAATCTTGAACCTTTATAATCATGTTGAATATTAATAATATGGTATGTTTCTTTTAATTTTTATAAATTAAAAAAAATTTATAACACTTTTTTAAAAAAAAATATTTTGATATTTTTTTATTACTAAGGATTCCAAAAGTGAGGTTCACCATTGAACACACCATTTGGTTAATGATCCTTAATTATTAAAAAAAAAAATTAATATTAAAAGGTTAAGGACTCCATGGTGAGACTCACCATTGCGAGTGTGCTCTAATAGTCTTTAGGCCCATCACGTAGCCCATTTTAAGGTGTGGTCCAGAACTAGTTGGGGAGAGTTGAAATGTGATATGAGTCAATACATACCCGTGACATGCAGTTAATCACAACACTCCAATATTCCGCTTTGGCACCTTTATAGAAACCACGAGATGAAGCCAACACTTTCTTTGTCTTTTTGAATATTTTGTTGTTTTTCAATCCTTTCAAGTAGGAAAAAAAGGTTTCTGTTCAGAGATTATATTATATTAGTTAAACTAAACAATTGGACTTTGACCTATGTTTATAGCCGTTTTCATTAAGGTTGTTGGTATGTTATAATTGGAAATGACTCAGAGACATGATTATAGACCAAGTTGGTACACTTTATGATTCACCCATTGCATTAAGGCCTTCCATTTATCTTTTGGGTCATGTCTAACTATAGTAAGCAATAAAGCTGATATTATGTTCAAGTAATCAAATGAAGCAGATGTTGTTACTAGCATACAATGCTTAATTTGTGTATTTAACTAATTTGTTTTTTTATTACTAGCATACAATGCTTAATTTGTGTATTTAACTAATTTGTTTTTTTTTATATATACGAACGCTTGTTATTATAATGACGTGTGTTTGAGATGCCACCGTTCCTGAATATATTGAATGATGAAAGTTTGAATTTAAACCGGGAACTAAAGAACAAAATTCATAAATAAATTATTTGATGGAATATATGAATACTGCTTCTCTTTACCATCTCTCTACAATACTATGATATACAATTTTAACTGAAATTCATTTGCAAAATGGAGAAGAAAATACTTTTCTACAGTCAAGAGTCTCGAGACAGAATCCTTGAGCATCACCTAACTTTTTTTGTATGGATTCTTGTTAATAATAACAAACGGTTTATATACGGTAGAGAGATGCAATTTGCACATAATTTCCAGAAAATATATATTGTGGCGGTGCACAAATCTTCATATTTCAAGAAAAATGAAAAATTAGCTTGATGAAAATTTAATTAAAAAGAAGAATTGTACGAAATCCAATCAAAATAGACAAATTATGTATTTTGGCCAATAACAATTTAATGGCATAGGACATGAGTGAGGCGTTAAAGAAAGAAATACAAAGTGGGAAAATGGAGATGTAACAGAATGGAAAAGGAAAGGTGTGGAGTTGATTGGGATTTGGACCATGGATTGTCATTTGTCCTTCTAATAATATTAACCGACAATTCGTGTCTTTTTATTTTTTTGAATATTACACTGTTTTCACATTGTGGATGCTCTCACTCCCACCCAATCACAAACAAATATTTCTTAAAAATAGTAATGATAAGGTAGTGGAACAATGCTCAAATAGTTGACTCAGTAATTCTTTTTTTTTTTTTTTAATTTCCTAAAATTATAATATATGTCTGTGCATTAGAACATTCTCATTGTTTTATGTAAATATAATAGGTTAGAAGATGTCTAAATGGTAGTCTCGTTCGTACAAATATCTTGATAGGAGTTAACTATCATAAAAAGCATTAATGTATAAGATGCTAAGAAGTTGATTTCTGTTAATCTAAAACTACATCATTATTAGGCAATGAAAAACAAAGAGAAAAATGTACAGATTTGCATTTGATCCTTCCGATGATTGACACATTATGTCATTTTTAAAATCAATTTAGTTTTGACTTTATGAATAGGTCTTACTTTTTTCAATTAACTGAAGAGATTAATATTCATTTCTCTCCAGATAAATTTGAAAATCCCAATAAAACCTTAAGGCGTAGGTCAGAACACTGGGAATGTTCCAAATTCAGTTAATTCCTCTAAAAAGCTGACGTGAAAAATAAATATTACTTTTTGCAAAAAAAATATCTTTTTTTTGTCAACCTTTTATATTAAGGGCTTTAAGCCCAAACATACAAGCAGTTCAGCCAAACCCAATTACACTTTCAGCCCAGAATTTGCCCACATACAGAAAGATAAGATTACATAAGAACACGTGTTAAAAAAAGAAAAGGCATGGATGCATGATCTCCACGTGTTCTAAGATGTGGCAAGATGTGGCAAAGACTTGTCTGGATTCGAAGGAGAAACGCCGGTGGTATCGCCGGAAGTCTACCGGATCGATGACTCACCAACACCTTTCTTCGATTAGGTTGAATTGCTTGACCGTCCTTCCTTTCCATGTTCGCCGCTGATCTTTTAGGATTCTTCATCTACCTATTAGAATTGACTCCAGTGAAAAGCTTCAAGGAGATAAAGCAGAATCTTGTCGGAACGTTTCTGAAAAGAAACTCCAACTTATCTGAGACTGCATCAGATTCTCCTCCGCTTAATCAATCATCTTGGTTTGATACCAACTTGGATACTCCCTGATATATTTATGAAACGGAGATTGATACCTCATCTAATAAGAAACCAAGCTTAACTAACAGACGGATTAAAAAACCCTCAATATCAAACGGGATAATTTAATAGATCAGAAAAGGTGAGAGACGGATTTAAAACACTTCAAAATCGCCTATCGCGAAAAGAACTATCCGCAACCGGAAAAACGATATCGATCATGGAGATCGAAAGTTATATTACAACAAACACACAAAAAAACAAAATAGAAAAGATCAGTGACCGGCGACTATAAAGTCACCGGCCACCGGAGATGTTTTATATTTGAAAAGCTGTTTGTAGAGAGAGGTTGGAGAAAACGAAGGGGATTTTTTCCTTGCAAAAAAAATATCTAACCTTTGAAGTATTTTGGAAAAAAGATTCTGACAAGAAAAATAAAAAATTTAAACTGAGAAAAGACAGTAACCAATATTACGCAATAGAATCCAAGTTTTTCACTTATGTCTTTTTTTAAAAAAAAAACGTACGGTCCTTTAATGAAGGTTTAGCCAAAGAGTTATTATTACTTCCTAGAAGAACCTCTCATCTTCTTCTCCCTTCTCCAAAAGACTCTCTTTCTGTAAGAAAAAAGCTTAAACCTTTCTGTGTTTCTTTCTTTAACCATGGCCGTTAATTCCAAAAGGGTCAGCTTCTTGCTTGCTCTGTTAACGACGCTGGCGGCGGTTCTCACTCCTTCACTAGTCTCCGGCGAAAATGGGTTCTCCGATCTTAGAATCCGTACACACTTGAAACGACTCAACAAGCCACCTCTCAAATCCATAAAGGTCAAAATTTCACAGAGATTATTAGATAAAGTTTTAAAATTTTATGCAATAATTTATGGTTTGAAACAGAGTCCAGATGGAGATGTGATCGATTGTGTCCCAATCACTGACCAACCAGCTTTAGATCATCCTCTGCTCATTAACCACACTGTCCAGGTTTAGAAACTCTTCTGTTCTTCTTCTTTCAGTTTGAAAGACTCTGTTTTTGTTTTGTTTCGACATTTTTAATGGGTTTTGTTTATAGATGTGGCCAAGTTTCAATCCAGAGAGTGTCTTTAGTGAGAGTAAAGTTTCATCCAAGAAACAGCAGTCTAATGCTATAACTCAGCTTTGGCATGTAAACGGGAAATGCCCAGAGAACACGATACCCATCAGAAGAACGAGGAAGCAAGATCTTTATAGAGCAAACTCGGTCGAGAAGTTCGGTATGAAGAATCAGAAAAGTATTCCTAAGGCTAAATCTTATGAGCCAGCTAGTGTCCTAACCCAAAACGGTCATCAGGTAAATAATGTTTCCTTGTATGCATTTTTGTTGTGTGTTTTCATTAACATTTTTTTCTCTCTTTGGATTTGATGCAGCACGCGATTATGTATGTGGAAGATGGGGTTTTCTACGGGGCTAAAGCGAAGATTAATGTATGGAATCCGGATGTGGAGATGCCTAATGAGTTTAGCTTAGCTCAGATTTGGGTTTTGGGTGGAAACTTCAACTCTGATCTTAATAGTATTGAAGCTGGCTGGCAGGTGGATCCTCTGTTCTTGAAAGCCTTCTTGTTAATAGAGAAATACCGTTTCTAACTCAAAGATTTGTGTGTGTTTCAGGTCAGTCCACAGTTGTATGGTGATCATCGCACCAGGCTCTTCACTTATTGGACTGTAAGTTTCTACATATTTCGTTATTTTTTTTTTTTTTTTTTTGAAACACAAACACATATTTCGTTATTTAATTATTTAATTGTGTACTTTAGAGTTAATGAAAGTATCATTCTTTTGTCTACATTGTGGGAAAACAGAGTGATGCATACCAAGGAACAGGCTGCTATAATCTTCTGTGCTCAGGGTTTGTTCAAATCAACAGGGAGATCGCAATGGGTGGTTCAATCTCACCTCTATCTAGCAATGGAAACTCTCAGTATGACATTACCATACTTATCTGGAAGGTAAACCAACAACAAGAATCCAAACTTGTCTCCAATTTGAAACCTTATTAAATTAACCAATCAAGAATAGAACAAAGAAAAACTTAGTTAATACAAATATAGTAGTATACATTTTACATAACTAAATTTACTTTTAATATGAAGAAATATGGTTTTATTGATGTTCTTAATAATACCAGTCAGTTTTGGTTTAGCTTCGGTTTGAGGATTTCGGTTTGGTTTTTTTATCAGGACCCAAAAGAAGGACATTGGTGGTTACAATTTGGAGAGAAGTACATAATAGGATACTGGCCAGCTTCACTCTTCTCTTACTTATCAGAAAGTGCATCGATGATCGAATGGGGAGGTGAAGTAGTTAACTCGCAGTCAGAAGAAGGACAACACACTACCACTCAGATGGGAAGTGGTCGGTTCGCAGAGGAAGGTTGGGGCAAAGCTAGTTACTTCAAGAACGTTCAAGTAGTAGATGGATCAAATGAACTGAGGAACCCTGAGAATCTTCAAGTCTTTACTGATCAAGAGAACTGTTACAATGTGAAGAGTGGTGACGGAGGTTCTTGGGGAAGTCACTTCTACTATGGTGGTCCTGGTAGAAACCCTAATTGCCCTTAAAGATCTGTCTACTTACTTGCATAGCAGGATCAGTCCAGATTTAATCATCAATTGTATAAAACATAATATTATATATACACATTCTTAAGTATATTGGCTTTATAGTTTGCAATGAGTGGTTTAGGGGTTTGTTTCAGAGTTTGTCTTTGTTTCTATGGAGTGAAGAGAGTATAAATGTCTTTAAAGAACATGGTCCCATGTGTATACTTGAATATATGATCTCATTAGTTACTTGTCTTTGTTTTTGGGTGACCTGTGTTATAATTGCTTTGTCTATGTATACCAAAACATAAAGATGAGACTTTTCCATTATCATTATTGGTCAAAACTTCATCAGTGTACTGTAATAAATAAATGTATATTGTTTCATAATGTAGTTGTCACTAAAGAACCATGTATAGATTTTTATCAATTAGTAGCGAACTGATAAGCCGTTTATCAAAAAAAAAAAAAATTAGTAGTGAACAAGCTCGTGACCTCACGCGGACAACGTAAGTATCTCCTACTTTTCAATTTGAAATCGGCCATAAATCTTATACATTAAATTCACCTCCTCTGTTTTCTTATTTTCAATATTGAAAACACTTGGTTCCAATATCTTGGTCTCACTCAATAACCTCTTTGAATTCTCAACTGCAATGTGTAATTCCTTATTTCGAACATTTAACTTGGTTTGGATCTTGTATAATATCTGCAACAGAAAATTTTCAAAAAAAAAAAATTATGTGTACGTAAAAGCCTTTTTAGATCTCAAATGTCTTAATTTGATTATTTGAATAATAATATGTATGAATGTCAAAAGAAGAAGAATATGATAGAATATGCATGTTTGATCTGGTCGTATGGCTTTTGTGTGTTTGGGCTAGCAACATTCATATTCGTTCGGAGCTTCAATTTTGTAGATTTCTGAATTTCATTTGATGCTTTGGACGAATTGGCGGTAACAAGGTCATGATCTTTCTTTTTTCAAAAAAAAGGTCATGATGCGTTCAGTTTTATGGAGTTTGCTTTTTTTCCCGTGGGTTTGGGTTTTTATAGGTGATTTTGTAAACAAATAAAGTTTTGTTTTTGAAAATTTTCCTTTAATATTCTACAAGATGGATATTCCAACAATGTTAACATAAAATAAAATACCTGTTTCTTATATTCGTGTACCTATATTTTTGTATGAAATTCTATATACATGTAATGGCCTTTTTACTCTAAAAATGTTCGTGGCAAATTTTTTATATTTAATTTGTATGGTTACACTTAAGGTTCGATTGTTACAACTAATAATAAAATAGTAGTAATATTTTATATAAATAGTATGCTGTAGAAATTGTAAATTTTCATTAAATTTTTTACTAAAATGATTGGTAAATCAATAGTAATATATAATTTTAAAATTATTATAAGAGTTGGTATAAAACATATTTATTTTAAAATAATATTTATATATTTATAATCATATTAATAATATATTTATTATTATAAATAATGAATATAATTCATTATATAACTCATATTATATTTTATATGTGAAATATTATTAAATAAAAAATCTCAAATTTCTTTTAAAATATTTAATTAATTTTAGGTATAAATATAATTTTAATATTATTAAATAAATAAATAATTAATTATATATAATTTATATATAAATTATTTTTATTTATTTACTGGTAGAGTAGTAAATGATTCATATATAAAATTATCATACAATTAATATTTGATATATAATTTATTTATTAATGTCTAAATAATATAAATATTTATATATATGTAATATGAATATATATTATGTTATGTTTGTATTAAAAATAATGAATGATATGTTTAATTATATAAGTTATATTATATTTAAATGTGAAATATTTTTCTTTAAATTTTTTTTTTAAACTTAATAAGATTTTTTTTTTTAAAAAATATAACTTTATTTTTATTATAAAATATGTTTTTATATTATTAAATTACATTAAATTACTTATATATATATATTTTTTTATATTTTCTAACTGTAAATGTTTTCTTAAAAACTCTAAGAGCATTGAGCAAAGCGTATTTATAGTGTATTAACATTTGTTAAATAATTTTTTAAAATATTTATTTGGTAAATATTGATTAAATAATAAATATGATAATGCTTATGTTAATGTTCTGCCAATAAACTCTTAATAAAATTCTAAAAATGTGTAGGTTGTTTTTCTTTTTGTAACTGAAAAGATGTGTAGGTTATTGAAGACCGTTTGGGAGATTCATAATTAGCAAGTAAACATCTTTCAAATGAATCTGTATTGGAATATCTATATTATTAAAACATAAACATTATAATTTTTTCAAGGTAGATTTTAAAGTTGGATCTTCTATTATTTAGACTATCTTAATTTTTAACTCAATCTTTAATAAAATATTTTCTTAAATAATCTTTTATTAATAACCATAATTATTTTCTTCTATATCTCATCTAATATTTTCAGTTCGAATATTTCTTTGTATCCATCCATTATATCATTCAACCAATATATTAATCTATAAATATGTATTATATTTCCACTATAAAACAAACTATATATATATATATATATCTTCATTTAAGTCAATTATTTGCAGACAATTTGTTAATCTACATCTATTAATATTTATATCGATACTATTAACTAATATTAATTTAATACTATGAAATTGACCAACTTTACACTTTCATTGTCCATATTCATTGTACGACAAACTTTAAATTATGGGTAGGCATTTGAAGCCATCCGATTTATTTAGGTTTCAAGTTTTTGAGGTTAAAAATTTCATCTCCGTTCGAATATTTATAAATTTCCGTTCGGATTCATATAAGATTTTTGCGGATTTGGATTCGGAAAACCAATTTAATGTTTTCACCACACATATATCTATAATACACTTATGAAAAACTATTAATACAAATCATGTTGTTTAATCACATAAAATAAATATAGACAAACTTAAGACTACATAAAACTAAACAATATAAAATACATATATAATTTGTTAAATAAAAATAAAACTCACCCGGCTGCACGGATATATAGTTAAATCACTAGATGATAATCCGCGCCATGCGCGGGGTGAACTTTAAAAAAAAAATCTTAAAATATATATTTTGCTATCAAAAACCATTTTTACATTTGATTAAGGATGGACATTTCGGTACCATTTGGTTCGGTTAGATTCTGTTTAGTTTATATCTTTGCGGTTTGGTTCGAATTTTTGCAGGTTTAGGTTGGGTTTAGGTTCGGATAACCCATTAAATTTTTTATAAAAAAATATTAAAATTCATACATACTTTAAATTTTTCAAAATCTAAAAGTAAAAAAAAATATAACATATAAATTTTAAAAATGAATGCCAAAATACTTAATCTTAACATAAAATTGTTTTTTAATAAATATTTGGACACAAAATCAATAAATATTTCAATGTTTTGGTATTTGGAGTAACGTTTAGCTATTTTAAAAATGTGCATTTAACTAATTATATATTTCTAAGTATTTTGGAAAATTTTAAACATCTCATACATTTTGTATATTCTTAGAGGTTAAATTTAAAATAATTAATATATTTAAGTATATAAATCTGTTCGAGTACACTCGGATACTCGAAATATTTTGATTCCGTTATGGTTATCTAGATACCAAAATTTTGAATTCGTTTGGATATCTAACCAATTTTGGTTAAAAATTTGTACTACTTTTTGGATTAATTTGTCACGGTTATTTGGATTCAGTTTTTTTTGCCCAACCATATATATTTTTTTATTATACCAAAAATTTAAATGAAAAGGATGATGGTTAATATTGATTTTGGGTATGCAACAATTTTTAAACAAAAAACACTGTATTATGCGTGATACATTTAGTTAATTATTATAAAAATTTTAAAACCCATTAGCAAACGATTGGCTGAATTGAAAACGTTATCTTTGATCACAAAATTTTCAATGTGAAATTTTTAGCATTTTTGTAATTTATGGTCATTTAAAAAAAATCAAAATATAACATATAAGAAAAAATCTAAATTTTTTATTATATGATTAATGTGATTTTTTAATGTATTTTAATAATATAAATTTAAATAAAATGTAAAGAGGATAAAAAATTGTTATCAAATATTTATTATTCATAAAAATTAATTGTGAGATATATGTTAATTATATTAGGTAATTCCGTAGCTTTATTTAAATAAATAATAAATACTTTTTGTACACTACTAATTAAAAATAATAGTTAGTATAATAAAAATACAGTGGAACTTTTATAAATAATAATGTTGAGACTACACCAAAATTATAATTTTTTATTAATTTATAGAGATTATTACTTTATCGATATACTAATTGAACCAAAAATTCAATTTGAAACTATAAAATTATATTATTTTAAAGAGATTTTTAGTGTATATTAATTTAAAGAGATTATATTGTATAACATATGTTTAGTTGGACCAACATAATTCTCTAAGAGTTATGAAAATCATTCTCATTGTGCCACGTGGCTACAAAAAAATATTGTAATGCTCCATGGTTAATATATAGGAGATTTAAACTATTAATCAAAAATATTATATGTGAAATTTTTAAATATTTTATTAATTTATAGTCGTTTTTAAAAATTAAAAAATATAACATATATAAACAAATTTTTTTTTTTGTTATATAGTTAATGTTATTGTTTAATTTATTTTCATAATATAAAATTATCAAAAATAGTAAAGGCTATAATTTTTTTTATCAAATCTTCATATTCAAATCATTAATTGTCATATATATATTATAACCATATTAGGTAATTCTGTAACTTTATTTAAGGAAATAAAGAATAGCATTAATAATATCTTTATGTTTAGTTTAATAAAAAGTATATTATATGTTTATATGGACCAACATTTTTTCTAGTAAATTTGAGAAGCATTCTCATGATGACACGTGGCTACCAAAACATGTTGTAATGCTTCTCAAATAATATATAAGGGATATTAGTTTTAACAAGTACCACGTCTTTTTATATTGGATAATCTGTACAAGTCGATGTCACTTGTCATCAAAATTTCAAGTATTCCCTTGCACGATATGTGTAAACTGCAGAAAAAAGAAAAAGAAAAGAGAAGGATATAATAAACATGTATATTTTGAATAAAACCTTGCACGACAGGTTCAATTAGATCGATAAGCATTGACTTCTACGTCTACGTTTGCGTTTTTTCTTATTAACAATGAAGAATATGCTTTACACTTATTCTCTTTGGCATTTAACTTCTCTTGCTTATGTTATATATTCTTGACGAGTTTTTAAAAACACCAAGATACTGCAAATATATATAACCCATGACTCCAAGTTTCTACTGTTAGATTATCTTCAAATCAAACTCCCCATCTCAAAATGGGAAACTGTCTTTCAATCACGGGTCCTTCTCCTGAAGTTTTATCAGAGAAGATTCTCAAAGCACTTCCCGTTGAAACTCCTTTCAAGTTTCCCTCACCACTGCCTACTTGGCCTCAAGGTTTGTACTATCTGTGGTTCTCTTATTCATCTCTTGTGAGAATATAAACATGAATAATATAAAAGACTTGAATCAATCCATATTTAAGTTGGAGATCCATAAAACTTAACATTGTTTGGTTTTATTTAACATGAATCATCAGGTAACGGGTTTGCGAAACGAACCATTGACTTAGGAGGTCTTGAGGTTAGCCAAGTTTCGACATTCAAGAAGGTTTGGTCCACTTATGAAGGAGGACCAGACAACCTTGGAGCAACCTTCTATGAACCATCATCGGTCCCTTCCGGTTTCTCAATCCTAGGTTACTACGCTCAACCAAACAACCGTCAACTATTCGGATGGGTACTCACAGCTAGAGATCTCTCAAGCAACACCTTGAAACCACCTATAGATTATACCCTCGTAGCAAACACCGAGTCACTCAAGATCAAACAAGACGGACCTGGCTACATCTGGCAACCCGTCCCGCCTGATGGATACCAAGCCGTTGGACTAGTAGTCACAACCACCTCACAAAAGCCTCCTCTAGACAAACTACGTTGTGTTCGGTCTGACTTAACCGAACAATGTGAGGCTGATACATGGATATGGGGAACAAACGGAGTCAACGTAACGAATCTAAGACCGAACATTAGAGGAACACAAGCTACAGGAGTCTGTGTCGGAACATTCACATGGCAACCTCAAAACTCATCTCCTCCATCTTTATCTTGCTTGAGGAACACGAAACTAAACTTCTCTACAATGCCAAATGGGTCCCAAATCGAAGTCTTGTTCAACACGTATTCTCCATTGATCTATCTCCACCCAGACGAAGAATACCTAACTTCCTCCGTTAACTGGTACTTCAGCAACGGTGCCTTGCTTTATAAGCAAGGTCAAGAATCAAACCCTAACCCTATCGAACCCAACGGAACAAACCTTCCACAAGGCGGAGCTAACGACGGATCATACTGGCTAGACCTTCCTAGAGACAAAAAGGGTAAAGAGAGAGTCAAGAAAGGTGACTTGCAGAACACGAAAGCGTATCTCCACGTCAAACCAATGCTGGGAGCAACGTTCACTGACATAGCCGTCTGGCTATTCTACCCTTTCAATGGTCCCGCACGTGCCAAAGTCAAGATCATCAACCTCCCGTTAGGGAGAATAGGTGAGCACATCGGTGACTGGGAACACGTGACGTTACGTATAAGCAATTTCACCGGAGAGCTATGGAGAGTGTTCTTGTCTCAGCATAGCGGAGGAGTTTGGCTCGAAGCTTGTGACTTAGAGTTCCAAGGAGGAGGAAGCAACAAGCCTGTGGCGTACGCGTCGCTTCACGGACACGCAATGTATGCAAAACCTGGACTTGTGTTGCAAGGAGACGATGATGTTGGGATAAGGAACGATACGGCGAAGAGTAAGAAGGTGGTTGATACAGGGTTAGGTTACGAGGTGGTTGCGGCGGAGTATGAAGGAGGAGGGGTGGTGGAGCCGCCGTGGTTGAATTATTATAGGAAATGGGGACCTAAGATTGATTATAGCGTTGATGATGATGTTAAGAGAGTTGCGAGGTTATTGCCTGGAGCTTTGAAAAAGGCTTTTGTAAACTTTGCGAAGAAAATTCCTGATGAAGTTTATGGTGAAGATGGGCCTACTGGGCCTAAACTCAAGGGAAACTGGGCTGGTGATGAAAAGTGATTGATTTTATTATCCCCTTTAGTTTTCATGAAACCTGTTTGGTTTGATTCTTTGTAATCTATAGCAGATTCTTGGTATGTCTAATGTAAAAAGTTATGCTAACATTCTATTTGGTTTGTCTATAGAATAAAAAATATACTTTGTTTCTCAACATTCTGTTTTTTTGAGCTCTGTTTCATCAACTGCATAACATACAAGGATGTGGTAGACTATAGCTATACAACCTTCTCCGAAACAAAGAACTAAACACAATCTTATTATTTAATAGTACTATTTGATTAGACAATGAAGCGACTATTACACTCTTGAAACCTGATAAGTAGGTGTGCACATTTAAGAAAGACGTTGTACTAAGTTTTCTATTTAGTTTGTTTTACGAGTTAGTTTCAAACTAAAAGTCGAAAATGTTTAGTAGATGTTTGATACAATTATTGTTTGGGTCTTTGTGATTGGAGTTAAGTTTGTTTCTAACCAAATGAATACATTAATTTGCTTTTTGGTTGTTATGACCATAATAACTTCTGATATGACCCTGGTAGTTTGTGGTTGTGCTTTTATGTTTTTGGTACTTATCAGTTCTTACTCTTTCTCCTATTTAAACCCCAACGCACTTTCATTCTTCCTGTCACAATCTCTTTCTCTCTTGTTTGTCTCCGCTTTCTCTTCCCTCTTTTATAATCCCCTCCTTCCTTTAATCGCTATGGAATCAAGGAATCCATTGAATCCATATAGCCAATCTCCTAGTTATGTCGGTCTTCTCAACAGTCAGAACTACCATTACGAAAGCTATCTTTCTACTGTAAAATTTGGATCAACTGAGATCACTCCTTTTAGTTCACAACAACCAGCTGCTCCACCTGTACGTGAAAACCCACCACTTGCGTCTAGGGAGAGAACGAAGTGGACTCCTGCTGATGACGAGGTCTTAATAAGTGCATGGCTAAACACATCTAAGGATGTTGTTGTAGGAAAAATCAGGGACTTTCTGGAAACGATTAGGTGAGTATTATGCTTCAAGTCCACATGCTCGTGAGAGTGGTAAACCAAGAGAGCATCTCCATTGCAAGCAGAGGTGGCACAAAATTAATGACTTCACCAACAAATTCTGTGGTGCATATGCGGCAGCAGAGAGACAGATTGGTTCTGGTCAGCACGACAATGATGTTCTCAAGGTGGCTCATGAAATCTTTTTCTCTGATCACAACACCAAATTCAATCTTGAGCATGTGTGGTGTGTGTTGAGGTTTGAGAAGAAATGGCTCAGCCTTAACACTCCTAAACCTAGTGGTAGTTCAAAGCGAAAATCTGGGGATGACGGGTCACAAGCTTCAATCACCACGGTTGGTGATCATGAGGTCCGTCCTAAAGGTATCAAGGCGGCTAAAGCTAAAAGGAACAAGGCCCAGGGAAAGTTTGTTTCTGAGTACACGAGCATTTGGGAAATGAAGAAGGAGGATCTCTTGATGAAAGAGAAACTGTCAAAGCTTGCCATTCTTGACACACTCCTAGCCAAGAAAGAACTAAGTGAGGCTGAAGGCTTGTGAAGCTAAAGCTACTTGCCATTGTTTGAAAATGTCTTTAGCAATTCTGTGTTTCTGCTTGTTCTTTTTAAATTCCTGAATTGATGTATGTCTGTTTGCTATCAATGTTTTCTCTGCTACCTATCTATGTATTTGAGTTCGTGCTTTTAAATGAATGTATTTCAGTTTGCAAATTTTATGTCAATGAATCCCCTGCTTCTTTTAATTGAATGTATTTCTACTTGATATTGCTTTTTAAAAAAAAGTTGCAAACAGAAATAAAAGATTGTGTTGAGGTTTGAGTAATATTGACCTTTTCATTTTTTTGGCAGGTTTATTTACAATGGTCCGTCGATATAGCTACAGCCAGCCTTCAGGATCAGAGGAGTATGGTGGAGAGTTAGATGACAATGCGTACAGCATTCAGGAAGAGCTTATTCGTCGGGACCAAGCTGAGTTGAGCTTCAGTTACGCTGAGACGACTAAGTATCCTCCCTAGCCCGAGGTCGAGTTTGGATTCCCGCAGATTTTCTACTGTGGTGGTCAACCTCTTCTAGCTACATCATACACAAGAAACGATCCGGGGAGGAGATACTACACATGCAAACATGTTGATGATGGAGAATGCCATGTCGAGAAGTGGTGGGATGTTGCAGTCATGGAGGAGATGAGGGCCAGGGATAAATACATTCTTCAATTAGAAGAAAAGGTAGATAATCTGACCATTATGAGTGACTACGAGACTGAGGAGAAGGTGGTTACGTTAGAGAAGTTAGTTTGTGACTTATCAAAGAATAAATCTAATAGGTTCAAAGTACTCGTCTGTCTAATGGTCATTGTTTTAGTTCTAATAGGTTTGGTGATCGTATTGAAGTGATTCAGGGTGCTGTTGGTGATCGTACTCTAATGGTCATTGTTTTGGTGTATGGTATTGTAATGACTTTAATGTATTGTATTGTTAAGAAATGGTTTGTACTGTAACGAGCAGGTTTGTAAACGTGATGTTTGTTTCTTGTAATGAAAACAAATTAAAACGTGACTTGGTTTGTATTGTGGTGTTTGTTTCATGATATTGATATCTCAACAAATATAGTTTCACTTTGCTACTGTGGTGCTCGTGAGGATAGAGTCACGAGACTTGTCAATCAGAACCAAGTCACAAGTTAAATAATGTCAATCAGAACCAAGTCACAAGTTAGTTAAATAATGCCAATCAGAACCAAGTCACAAGTTAAATAATGCCAATCAAAACAATATACTTTCACAAGTTAAATAATGTACCATTAATTTTATCCTATAAATATGGTAGATCGTTGCAAATTTTTAGACATTTATTTCTTCTTTACACCAAACCTTCTCCTCATTTCACTCTAATCTTTAAAAAAAAAAAAAAATTCTAATGGCATCTTCTTCCCATTATCACTAACACAAATATGATGATGAATTTGATTCCGTTTTTGATGAATATTCTGAAAACGATGATCTTATTTCAGAACCAAAAGAGTGAAAAAAACGAATTTTTATCGAGAGAAACCGAGAAAAATGGCACCAGAAGCTCTGGAATGATTACTTTAGCGAGACTCCGACGTACACGCCTCAATTATTCCGCCGACGGTTTCGAATGAACAAATCATTGTTCATGCGTATTGTCCATCGTTTGTCCACGGAAGTACGGTATTTTCAACCAAGAGAAGACACAACCGGACGGCATGGCTTATCACCGCTACAAAAATGTACCACAGAAATTCGACAATTGGCATATGGTGGTGGAGCTGATACAGTTGACGAATATGTCCGTCTTGCTGAAACTACGGCTCGAAAATGTTTGCAAAATTATACCGCGGGAATAATCAGCTTGTTTGGCGATGAATACCTACGACGTCCCACACAAGAGGATATACAAAGACTACTCTATCTCGGAGAAGAACGTGGGTTTCCAGGAATGATTGGAAGCATCGACTGTATGCATTGGGTGTGAAAGAATTGCTCCACGGCTTGGAAAGAAATGTACTCACGAGGAACCAAAAAACAAACAATTATGTTGGAGGCGGTAGCTTCTTATGACCTCTGGATATGGCACACGTTTTTTGGAGCTCCAGGTACTATGAACGATCTTAATATTCTTGATCGATCACCTATTTTTGATGACATTATTAACGGAATTGCACCAGAAGTAAACTTCTATGTCAACGGAATGGAGTACCATTTGACTTATTATCTCACAGATAGTATATATCCGAAATGAACGACTTTTATTCAATCTATCCGACTACCACAAGGTGAGAAACATTCATCATTTGCTAAAACCCAAGAAGCTGTTTGCAAAGATGTTGAGTGTGCCTTTGGAGTCTTGCAAGCTAGATTTTTCGTTGTGAAAAAATCCATCGAAGTTATGGGATAAAGACAAAATAACAAATAATATGAGGATATGCATCATACTCCATATGATGATTGTCGAAGATGAGCGATCATCATTCACTCAGTATAATGTTTTTGAATTTCAAGAAAGCGAAGATGATGATACATTTTCCGTCAATATGCCTTCAAATCTCGGTAATACAATTGATCGTCAAACCAGCGTTCAGAATAGACAAACCCATGAACAACTAAAAAACGATTTGGTTGAAAATATATGGGCTAAATTTGGACATCTTCCAAATAACATATAATTTTTAAGTTTCTATGAATTGAATAAAATGTGTGTTTGCTTTTATTTCTGAAGTTTGTATGTTTTTTTCGTGTTTTTAATGTATGAAATGTAATAAATGTTTTCTAATATTCTATTAAATGAATAAATTTGTTTTCTTATTATGTATTCAATTTAAAGTGTTATATATGTTTTGTCTTAAACATCATTTTATATGTTACTAATTATTAGAAAAAATATTTTTTAAAACTATGAACCAACAAAATGTCTCATCAATAATCTTCATTTTCATTAAAGTTTCTTAACAATGTCCTTAAGTTACAAATAATAGTAAAAAACTCTAAGAACTCTCAACAAATTCCCATTGATAATCTTGCTCTAAGGGTGTCCACATCCTCAATTATATTCGACCACTGAGGTTATTTTAAATCGACACGTCATTTCTTCTTACGTAATACGTATGAGCTCAAGTTATGATCTTAAAACCATAATTTTGAGTATTCATTAAGCCCATACATATGGAGATTGAAATCTTCGCCGTCGTCTTCCTCAACCTCAACTACAGATCTCATCAGTTTTCTCCCTTTCGGATTCCCTCTTCAACCTCTTCAACGCCTCTGTCTCATAACCATCTTTCCTAAAGCTCATCCATTACTGCATAAATCAAAAGCCAAGATACACTTTCAACTCCCTTCACTTCAAGTCATATATATCTCATGGTGTTCTCGATTCTTCCATTCATCGCAATTACATAACTAAATGATCCCTTCAATCCATGGCCAATAAAAGTTCCTCATCCGCAGTTATTCAACAACGTTGGCCCAAGATTTCGGCTAATTCATTTCTGGAAATCACACCAGTATCAGTCAAGGGTTTTCAACAACGGAAATCCGGCTTCTTGATTTATCATATATAAATGAGAATATCTTTATTTGATGCCAGTCTTTGTGTTCATGTTCTAATATGCTTTACCAATT